GATTAGGCTCAGACTTACCAGGAAATCTACTGTGGAGGTTGGCATCACAGTTGTAGCCATTGAACTGAGCAGACCCCGGAAGTACTCTTATTGTTAGAAGCAACAGCAACCATATCTGTTCCATTGCAAAACCTAGAAAAGAGTTACCTATTATGTTATCACCAGCCTTCACTCTTACTTGCTGGAAATACTGAGGCTGATCTAACTCACTGTTGGATCGGCAAGCAGTCTATATTCCTGCAAGCAAAGGTCACTAAAGGCCCAAAGATTATCAGAAATAATTATTAGCAACAAGGCAGAGATTTTGGTTACAATATGTCAAGATTATTTTCATCCTTTGGCTTCAGTTTGCTAAGGGCGACAAAGCCAGGCTTTTGTCATAGAAGAGCTATAAAGTTTGTAAAAGAAAAAAAAATCTTCAATAGAAATAGGAAGAACTCAAATTTTAGTATTTGGCACGTTAGAACACCATCGTTAGGCAAACTGACCAATTTGGAGAAAACTCTGCACTTGAAAATACCCATATACATAAAGGCAGAGAAATTTAACACTTAATACTCGATCCTCAGAGAATTCTAGTACTCTCAATGACCAAATAATGTCAGGAAAAATTTCCCCTCAAGAAAGAAATTCCAGACTACTTCTCCAAACCATTGGTTTGTATGTCATTTTGTCAGGAGACACAGGCATAAAGCAAAAGGGAGACTAGAAAGGCACTATATGTGGAACAACACCGTGGTTCCTCCAGTGGCTGCTCATTGGTGGGAAATAAGGATTGCTATAGACATACAGAAACCTTGAACTCTTGCAAAAAAAGTAATGGAAGGTGATATTTTTAAGTTGGCAATGTGGATTAAATAAACAAACATATATTGACTTTAATACTTAAGCACCAATCAGGCTGGTATTTAATTATTGTTTTCCTCTCAATGTCTTTTTATTGGCCTGATAAAGTTAAAACATGTTCCAGGAGTGCCCAACTTATTCATAGAGTGTAGTCTGTTCACTTAAAAAAAATAATAATCTTTTAGGTTGGTGGTTTTGGTTTATGCATAAAAAGCAAAAATAAAATAAAATTGTAAATGGTTGGTTGAAATAATTGAGTGCACTTTAAAAGCTTGAGGTTTGGGGAGAAAGTGATGTTTTAGATGTCCTTAAAATCTGCCCTTGGATAATTACTCAAGTCTTTAGCAAAAGGAAGGAAATACATCTTGTTTTTGAATAATCATTTTAGTATAACACGTTCATGGTGAGTGACGTCACTTTGGTGAGGATGTGGGAAATGAAGGCATGAGTTTACGCTCAAAAATAGTCTGAACAAATGTTAACTCAACAGGAGCTTCCTTCTTCATCATTATAACATAACAGTCAGGCACAAACCTACTGACTTTTGGGAGAATAGCCACATGTCTGATTAGTTCTGCTCCCCCAGGACAGTCCCTAAATAAAGGCTCACACAATCACTGACCCAGATGGTGGGCTTGCTTGGCCACACCTACACCTTCATTGTCTAGTTCCTGGAGACCCTTCAGATAGATTAAGTCCTCCCTGCTCTTTTGGAGAGTTTGGACGACTACTAGTAAAAAGAGCAGCGTGTCTCTGAATGGTATCTTCCACCTCACACACATGTATCTCAGCCCTGCCCCTCCCTTCTCATGATAGGTGCCCTTGAGACTCAACACCCACACTGTCCTCTTCACTTTGGAGATGTCTTCTGTTCCTAGGGATTCACAGAGTCAGGAGTTTTCAACAATGAGTTATTTTATTATTCTGAAATGCTTCCTAGCTTTTACATTCTCTCAACAGATAAAAATAACATTTACTGAGCACACACTGTACACATAGAGGTCACTGTGTACCAGACCATTTACCTATAGTATCTCATTCATATTCCTTATCATAATTGGATGATACAGGTACAGAGAAATAAAAATACATCTTAGGAAGTTTAAATGACATGGAAAACAAATAGAGAAACTGGAATTCAACTTCAGGTCTTTCTGATAACAGAGTTTACTGCACAAATTATCTAAATATCTGTTACTAAATCATTTTTTTTGTTTGCTTGTTTATTTGCGGGGGGGCAGGGGTTGCCATTTATCATCAGTTGCTTTCTTTAGATTTTTGAATTATGTACTCTTTAATATTATCTTTTCAACTGAAAATGAATAAACAAATTCTTATGTAGTGAATGTAATATGTTCAACAGATGTATTTATAATATGGGCATAAGGGGAAAACATTATGTTTTTAATAAGGAAAAAGAAGCCCTTATTATGAAAAAAGTGAGAATTATTACTATAGACTAAACTGGACACATCTGTGTTTATCAAAAATGGATGAGAAATTCAAGCTATTTGAAAGGGTCTACTGACTGTAATAGTAAGTCTTAGCTTTACCACTTTAGATCTGATCTGAGGTTGTCCAAAAGAGGTATGCCTCTCCCCTTCACACCATGAATAGGACCTCCTGCACTGTCATGGAAATTAAAACCCTTAATAAATATTCTTAAAGAAAGGAAGGTAGCAGTAGAAGGCAGCTTGCTTTAACAGAAAATACATTGATTTTGAAATAAGCAGATTCAAATAAATGGATTCAAATCCCCCTTCAATCAATTTCTAGAGTCGTCATTTAGAAATCAAGGTGATGATCAGAACACAGCATAGTCAGTGTTCTGATACAGAAGGTATTAAAATATTAGTTTCAGGGCCACCACACACTGATGTGCAAGTAGTAACCTGCACAAGGGCATCCAGTGGAAAGAGATGGTGACAGGGACTGTTCTCCTTTGGCTAAGCCACATGTGCTGGAGCTAGACTGCTCGATACAAAGGAGTCCATAGACTAGGGCAGTTCTGATAAGTTGAATCACATTATTCTATTTATAATGTTATCTGCACTGGTCTGTGTTTTAGTATTAAGAAATATTGAGGAGGGCATTTTTGAAAGGACACCCACATGTCCTATATAGGCAGCATCTACATTTTGGTCCCTTATAACATTAGCAGTACTTATGGTATTTTTAAGACTTTGGGAGGCTCTTTATATTCCATCTACAAGTTAAAACAAAATGATGAACTATTAACTTGCAAACTTCCTGTTCCCAATCCTATCTCCATCATTTCCCCTGAATATAGAAAATCTGGGCTTCAATTCACAGTAGCAAACTTGGAGATGCTACCTTGCCACAGTTCCGAAAGTTCTTTTCTGATATAGGATCACTTGGGATTTAAAGAAAGGAAAGTAGCATGGTGAAACTCTATACACTCCTCAAAGCATAATGTCCTGGTTGCTCAGACTCCCTAGCTCCTGGGCAGGTGCAGTTCTAGACAAATGTACCCCAGTCCTAATCTGGCTCAAGAAACTTAGTTGGGCTTCACGTCACAGGTAGAATCTGATTTCTGTGGTCTGTTGTGGGGTGGCTTGAGGTGCTTGCTGTTCCACTGTGGCTCCAGCAAACTCTGGTTAGAGAACAGGAGCAGAGGCATCTCCCTCTTCTCCACCATAACTAAGTGCAGGAACCAACACCCCTACTGTGGTGCTAACAAGGTGTACAAGGCTGCCTAACACAGCCAAATTATAAAATATCAACAACAGAGAATTAGGTAATAGATAATTGGATAATAATGACCTTGAAGATGTGTGTGCAGGAAGTGTTTGTACGTTTCTTAACTTAGAATTTCCATAAATTTAAATCAATGTGGGTAGGGGAGGAGAGGGGTTTTATATACAACATTGAATTTTAAGGAATTCAGAGGTGTTGATTTTAAAAGGAATCATGTTCATCTCTTAAACTGGTACTAATGGGCTCTGTGTTTTATACTTAGTAAAACAAAGGAAATACTAAAGAATTTGGTGTCAAATATCTCAACATTTCTCATATTAAGTTTTCTTTTTTAAAAAAAGCTTCTTCCAAAACATGAATTTCTAATGTATTTCCTTAAGATTAAACTTGGATTCAGAGAAATACAATTTCACTTTCGATTCTCACTTAATTTTATACAAAATTATACAGTTCTGTCAGAAACATGGTTCTCTCGATTTTATATATTTAATTTTTAACCTTCCTATTATTGAGATCTGCCATGTGCCAGGCACTGCACTCTGTTGATATTCAACTGTTAACATAAATTTAATTTTTACCCATGTTAAAAATGTGGAAACAGAGCCCAAAGTTTTTCATTGATTTACCAAGGGCCACATACCTAGGAAATGGCAGAGCAGACTTCAAAGCAAAGCCTGATTCTTGGAATTGTAACTCTACTGTTTGACTTAGTTGAAATTTGTCAGATACATAAAATTAATGTCCTGCTAACTTTCAGAAAGTAAATTATATGAATAATGTGTGCTTAAAATATGCTTTGAACTATATGATTTAGATGATTGAGGCAAAATATTTTTAATTTCTACATAATTATCATGGCTCTATTTCACGTAGGCAATAAGTGCATCAAGAATATTGTTCTTGGGGAGGCCAGGGGAAGGTCAAGAGGAAAAAACAAAGGAGACATATGTACTACTCTTTGTAATACTTCAAGCAATAAAACAAAATTTTTTAAAAAAGAATATTGTTCTTTGCACAAATTGATTTAATGACAGTATCAGTGAATGTTAAAGGATGACAGTTTATGAAAATGTACTTTTGACTTTTTGTTAAGCACTTCATAGATGAGATAAGTAAATTATTATCCTTATCCAGGGAATGAGATAACTAAAGCACAGAGATGTTAATTTATTTGTCTAAGGTTAAACAGACAACCAGTGTTAAAATCAAGATTCAATGCACAATGACTCCAGAAACCAGCCTTAACTATGAAGTGGTACTGCCTTCCAGAAAATGATTCTTATAAGAGGAAGTATATGTAATTTGTCAATTCCTTGCTAAATCTGATCAATAACAATTTATTTCTACATTTATTTATTATTATTGAATGCTTACATGTGCAAGGGCTGTCCAGGGAAATTGAAGAACAGCCCTTAGAAAACATTTATCTGCATAGAACTTACATTCTAGAAGGCAGTCAAAAGAAAACATACTATATAAGTAAAGTACAGACTATATTTGTGATAAGTGCCATGGAAATAAATAAATTAAAAATAATAATAGAAAGTTCTGGGGTAAAGGAGAAGGAGTATTGAAATTTTAAATGGGATGCCCAGGGTTATAAATCAATCCATATACAGGAAGCTCAAGGAGAAAAAAAAATTCAGTTATGAACTATCGTATCAACTTGTCTTTAATTTTTACTTTACTTTTTTCTATTTAGACATTTCCCAATTAAAATAGACTTTTAATGCATAAATTATTCTCTGGGAATACCTTGGATACTTTGAACAGCTATGTTAACCTTTTTAAATGAATAAAGGTAGTTTTAGTGCCCAGGAAATGTAATTCATTAAATAGCACCCCTGTGACCTGAGGAAAAAAAGAGAACATGTTCAAAAGTGCCTTTATCTAGCTTGAGAAATAACTTTTGCAAAAACAAATGGGCTCGACAATTTATCAAAGTTTCATACTTCCTTAATTTTATTGCCTTCATCTAGACCCGTCTGTATCATGCTGCTCTAGTTGGGAAGAAAAATAGAACACTCAAACCAAACAGCAATTCTTCAAATGTCTAATCATCAATCTGAGATTTGTGCATTTTCCCACTAAACTAAATCTGCTTATCTTGTCATACAGATTCACAAAATTATGGAATTGACTGTATGGCATTGGCGATGGCCCCAGTCCTCTCATTCCTAGCCTTCCCCTGTATTTATTGACCAACTAGCTACTCAGACAGCCTTGTGTGTCCTACAAGGGGCATAACTTTTATTTCTGGGGCTTCTGTATCACCTATCCAAGCCTGATCCTCAGAAAAGGTAACAGGCTTTAAATGACTAAAATTTTTTAAAGTTTTCAGGAAAGGGGAGGAGAAGAAATGTATGTATTTTAATAGAGATCAAAGTTTACATTAAGGAATGAAGCCCTACCCTCGCCTTCAAAGCAACCAACAGGGCCCCGAAAAGCTCTGGAGCAAAAAGGCATTGCAATTATACAGGTTGGCAGCTGTCTTGCTTACTTACGACTCATGGTTTTACACAGTCTTGCCTCCAGAAAAAAATACTATTAGCTCACCCTCCAAAATCACCAGTTTTAAAGTGCTACAAACCATGACTATTTAATAAAGAAACATGTTTTCTAATGGAGTAAATGATGCTCTACATTCTTTATTGCCATGTTGCCCTTGAACATTAGAGGCAACATATTTATTCAAAAGAAACTGAAAACATAAAACTTTCATCGGAAATACCCATTATTATGTACGTCTTCTAACAGAGCATGTTCTCATCTTGCTGGACACTTGTACTTTTCAGAATAATGCCTAAGACAGAAGGAAATAAGTTTGGCCATCAAGAAGACACTCAGAAATTGTATAACTCTAAAGTTGCTGATGTATACCAAAAGCAAATACAAATGCTAAAGGCTGTTCCTAAGAAAAAAACCTACTCCAGTTTTCTCTGACACAAAGCGAATATTCATTTCTTTCCCTTTGCCTGTCTTTCTCACTTGTCTGTTCGGGGTTTTTTTGAGTAGCATTTAAATGATCTGTGTTTAGTTTAGAACACTTACTTAGCACCTTATTTTGGGAGTACTGAGAGATTGAACTAAGTCACTCTAAATGCTTTTTTATAATAATTCACCAGGTTCATTCTCAAGATACATGCATATTTCATCTTTCTCTAGCAGTTCTGAAGATGTTAATATGTTGCCTTCCTCCTTTCATGAAATGCAATAAAAAATTGAAAATGTAACTATCTTAAATGTACCTTTTTCTTTTAATTAATTTCACAATTAACTATTACTATGATTATTTCAGAGTGAAGATATTTCTTTCTCAATTGAGATGATATACGAATATTGATGAGCCACTACAGCATAAGAATCGGCAAGAAGGGATACCATGTTTATATATTCTGGCTGAATATTAACCCACTTCCAAAACATCAAAGGCATGTGTAATGATAATGGAAAGATAAGTTCATATTTTTTGACTCTTGCTTAAGAATAAAAGAGCACCTATCTATTAATACTTCACTATTTTATATTCTTCTGTTAATGTATTCAATTATTTATTCATTCTGGAATTTTTACTGGGCACTTTCTAAGTGTCAGACCCAATGGCTAACAAAACAATCATGGTCCGTGCGCTTACAGAGTTTACAAACTAGAGAGGAAATAGTCATCAAACTAGTAATTACATACATAAAAATATTCTCATAAAATATGTTTGGTAAATGCTATGAAAGAAAAGTAAACAGTGCTTCAAGAAAGTAAACCTTACAACCTAATTTAGCTGGAAGGTGTCAAGAAAGACTTTCTTAGAAGTATCACATTTGACAAGAATTAAAGGATTAATTTGAGTTAGACACCGTCTGGAAATCAGCACTCCAGGTAGACCTCACTGGACAACCATGGGTCCCAATATATAAAAACAATTAATTTGGTGGGGGAGGGGGAAGTTAAATTTGAAAGAAGGTCGGTCCATGATGAAAGCAAAGAGGAAAGGGCCAGGAGAAAAAATCTGAAGGTACAGACAAGGAGACCATGGTGCATCATTTTTCCTAAATGGAATAGGAAGCAATTGAAAGCCTTTAAGTTGAGGACTAGGATTATAATACCCTGAGTGAGGTAAAGTGAACAAATTTAGAATGTTCTTTTTAACCGAAAATAACAGGACGTGGTGTTTAATTCTAAGTGCAGAGGTAAGTAAGAGAAATGAGACAAGGGTATCTCTCAAGTTTATCTTGGTCAAGCAAGTAAACAGCAGTACATGTATTGAGATGGAGAAAATTTAAAGGAACCAGGCTGGAAAAGGACCAAGATATCAGTGGATTATGGCCAAATGCAAGGGGGTCTATTTTTTCTATACAGAAACTGAAATATTATAAAAGATGAAACACATAGTAAGAGGCAGTATAACAACCTCATTTTAAGTTGCCAGGGCAAGCCCCAGTTGCTTATCATAGAGGGTCTTATATAAATACTAAAGGCCTGGTGCACAAAAATCTGTGCACTCAGAGGGATAGGGGGGTCCCTCAGCCCGGCCTGTGCCCTCTCGCAGTCTGGGACCCCTCGGGAGATAACGACCTGC